AGGGAAAGAGAACATCATTGAAACACACTGTTCCAAAACAAGAACGCTTTTCAGAACAATTGTTTTGGAGCGAACTCTCCTCCAGGACTAAAGAGGAGCTTTGTAGTCTATGGTGTGGGAGCTAGATGACTTAAGACATGTAGGTTGTCTTGTTTTCCCCATCGGAGTGGTAGAATAAAAGAACAAATGGGGCTGACAAGTTGTAGGCATCTGCCCTTGGGCACTATGGGTCCCCAGGAAGCAGAGATACTTGCTAGCAGCTCCCTACCATTACTGCAGACACCTTTGGAAGCGTGCTCATTGTCATAATTTCCCAACGGGTTGCCCTAGATCCTGAAAGCTAAATATATCATCTTCAAGGGAAGTTAAGTTCTGTACAGGTTCACTATTTTTCATCTTTTTTTGAGAGCCTTTAACTTGCTCTTTCTAAAAATGGTGGTCCCTACATCTTCTGGATTCTGTGAAGGCATTGGCCAAGAAGTATTAGCTTGCAGTGAGGATTATCTCCCCCACCCCCCTGTCCCCAACAGTGAACTGAAAGACCTTTTCAGCCCTTTTCAGAACCTTTCAGAACCCTTTTCAGTTACACTTTTGCAGTGTCAGCTGCGTACAGCAAGGCAGACTTAAGGTAGTTTAAGGGACGTTTACAGTCCAGCATTAAAAGGCTGACTGAGCATCTCAAATGAAGGTTTTCTAGTTCAATGGGATTTCAGTAGTTTCAGTGGGGTTCAACATCCATATATGTCACTGTTGAGAAGTTCCATATCTCGACCACTTGGAAACTCATGCGCTAATACTCTCAATTTTTTTAGTGGTGCAACATTTTTGTCCTCGACACCTTCCAGGGACCACTGTCCTCTTTCTTGTCTATGTCCTACATTAGGGCTTCAAACAAACGATCTCTACTTCAGATGGGAATATGGAGAAAATGCCAGACTGCTATCTACTGTGCCCCTTGGAGTGAAATCTTACCTCTTTTGTTTCTTCTTCAATTTTTCTTTCTGATTTTCTTCTTATTTGAATGTATAGTTTCATCACTTCTCTTGCTCCTGTCTGTTTCATGACTTTGGTGTCCTGGTGGCATTTTCTATAGTATTTTTTTTCATATCTAATTAGTCTAAATGTCCCCTGGAGACCATTTTTTTGCCCCTTTTTTAAATGATATTTTGACCTGCTGTTCCTTCCTGTATTTTCTTTGTTAATTTCTTGCCTTTTGTCTCTCTTGATCTTCTATTATTGTCTGGTCCCTTAACAGGCTTTTATTCTTTTCAACATTTACATGCAGAACAGAAATATTCTGTAGTGTTCACAGCTGTATGATAAGATCTGATTTTAATATTCCTGTCCTGGGTACAAAGACTTGCTTACACAAGGGAATGACTCATTCTCCTCTGCATTTAAATCTGGCAAGTTTAAATTACACCAATGGCTTAGCTGGAGATCAACTACTTGTAAAGGAGTCAGAATTGGCTTCCTAGCAGCTTTTCAAAATCATTTTCTGAGATAGTGTGTTTTCTACTTGAGATCAGATAGTAAAATCTTCACAGAAAGGTAGTGTATCTGGTCCTGTACTGTGATTGATGTCTGAGACTCTGAAGTTTAATTATTCTTATCATACTGCCTTGGAAACTGCAAGTGTGAATAAAACAAGCTTTATCAGTTCCAGAGCTGCCAGCCATATCATGCATTGAGTGAAACACAGCTTATTCCCTAATTTCTTTGTTCCTTACCACTCCTTCCTCCCACCCCCAATAAATATTTATACATATTCATAATGTACTCTTGAGACTTCTCTTCTGCAATGTAAGCACGTCTAGCTCTCTTAACTTCTATTACATGGGATGCTCCAAGCTCTTATCTTACTCATCTTTGTGGCCCTTCACTGGACTCTTTCCACATCTCTTTTGTTCTAGGGAGCATAGAATTAGATCCAGATGTTTAGACTAAAGACATGTCTTACTGGTTGTCCTGGTTCTGGCCAGGACAGGGTTAATTTTTTGCAGTAACTGGGAGGGGGCATGGCTAGGGCACAGAGGTTATTCTATACCACCTCACATCAGAGTTGGGGACAGGGGAAAGGGACTCTCTTCTGGGAAGAAGGAGTTCCTTCCAATTATAAAACATGGTGGAGGGAGCTGTCCGGTATGGTCTATTATCGGGTGTTTTTTCTGTGTGAAAAATTTCTTTTCATATACCTTTTGTTATTAATATTGTTGCTGTTATTGTTTGTTTTCTTATCTCATTGCTTTTTTCCAGTAAATTGTTCTTATCTCAACCTGTGATCTCTGCCCTTTGTGTGCCAATTGGAAGGTCAGAGGGTGGTTTTTTTAGTGGGACTACTAAACTGGAGAATACCCTTCCTAAACCACAACATGGTGCTGAGCAGAAGGGAAGAACCACCTCCCTTGACCTGTTGGCAATGCCCTTAGTTTGCCTTTATTGCCATGAATGTGCATTGCTGGTTCGTGATCAGGTTGTTGTCCACCAGCACCTTCTGGTCTGTGTCTGCAAAAGTGCTTTCTACAAGATCACACTTATCTTAACACAGTGGTCCAGCTTATCAAATTGGAGTTCATTGAACATGGGCACAGCTCAGATGTTGCCTAAACAAGTTAGGATTAGTTTACTACAATGTATTTATGATCCTTTTCTGGGATAAGGATTCCAGACCAAAACCTTGCAACAAATAAATCTACTGGCACCATTATAGATATCAGACCATTTGATGTGACAATGCTTTGATGCAGCTGTGAGAGTCCAGACATGTCTAAGGATTATTTAAACTAAAACAAATCCTTATCATGAGGGAAAAAAATTGGATGCATCAAAGATCTGATAATTTTTTTTTACTTTAAAATTTTTAATTATTTTCAACCAACAAGCCTAGGAATTTTATCCCTGAAAAATTTAATTAGTAAGTTGTTAATTTTTCTATTATGTTATGGAGTGCGTCTAATTGCTCTTATTCCAGGTCCAAGCTGAGGCTAGGAAAATACTTTTAAAATTTGAAAGGATGATTTTTCACTTGGAGGCTACTATTGTAATCTTCCATCTTTGTTTGTAGGACAATGAGATGGCAGTTTCATTTTCATTGTTAAAACATACCTTTATACACATTACATTTTAGAACCCACACTTATCTTAAACAATTCTTGAAAAGTGAATACAGGAACCTCAGCAAGAAGGTATAAATTAGAACATTCTTATAAAATGCTTGCCATCAGGAGCTGGCGAATACACTGACTACCCATTTTGAAACGCAAATTGAAAGGGACTCACTGAAAATGTGGTCAGAGGGAAATCAATGCATGAAGGGTATGTCAAGCATGAAATATCATGCAGCCCTCTCTTCTCATTTGCCAGTCATTTCTTTCTTTTGGTACTGCTCAGGACATGTACTCATGAGCCTGGAGGACCAACCTGTGCCCATGCAAATGGGTAAGGGAATGCCAGAGAAGCCCAGATGTCTCTTGGATGGTAAAGAATTGCTTGAGGCTCTGCTGGATTTTTGTGAAGAGGCATCTGGCAACAGCTCAGTTGTCTTTCACAGAACTGACTTTGATCCCACTTGTGTTGTCATGGTAACATGAGTCTCTGATAAAACGAGCCTTAATCACTGAGTTAGAAGTTGACCTCTCTTGCTCATAGGAACATGGGAGAAGACAAGGAATATTTTTTCCCAAACGCAAAAGTTCAGACAATTCTCTTGACCACTCCATGTCAGTTTTTAAGCCTCCTCTATGTAACTTGTGATATTGCAAATGTGTGTGTGTATGCAGGGGAAAAATAAGAGAGTATTTTCTATACAGGAAAGTGCATAGCTGTAAGTACATAAAACACTCTAGTTGAAGTGTGTAATTAGTACTATTGCATATGAGTGGATGTTCTCTGGAGTGCGATGCTCAGTAGATTTGCAATGGGTTTAAAATATTAAATAATTATATAGCAGTTATGAGTATACTCTATTCTTTTGGATATAAAGAATTCACAGGAACATTTATGATTAAGCACTACTATAGCTCAAAGGGCTAGCAGGTTTTATCAAGGTGAGGTTACATCAGCTTTTTTTGCTCACATAACTGCATTACTTTTAAAAGGGAGCTTTTTATAGTCTGAAACAACCTTGTCACAGCAGACTGGAGTACCATGATGGTTTTTGACATTTTGAATTAATTTATGCAGGTCTCTGTTGTGGGGTGGCAAAATTACTTCTGGTTTCTAAGCTATTATATTTAAAGATAGCTTTTGTATTCATAATAGCACTGCAGTGTGCATGTAAACGTGCCTTCAAGGAGGAACTTCATAAACAAGAAAATATTTAACAACCACTGTGAAAGACTGAAAAGATAGGTTTTCAGGAATAATTCTGGATTATTATTAATTTTTTTTAAAGATAGCATGGTTGAATGAATATCAGAGCAGAATAACTTGATGTAAACTTAATTAATGAACAAAATTTGGACATCACAGTGCTGAATTAACTGATGCCAGTCAATTCGATGTCTGAAATAAGGCACAAGACTGACAAAGAGAGATAATATTTTACATTAAAAATTATGACCCCCTAATCTAAGCAATTGAAGGAAGAGGGGAGAAGTAATCAAAGAGTTTAGGGATCCTCCAAAAGACAGTGAGCCTATGCAGAAGAGATGTGAAAGATCACAGATTTGGGCAGTAAAGTTTCTGCTATGTAAGGTAGAAATAAAGCAGAAATCATAGAAGATGCAGTCACAAGACTTGCTAATTAAAAAAAAATTAATAGTTTGTATCCTTCTGTCCAAGCCAAGCAATTTTGTAGGTTGAAACAAGGGAGACTCTTTCATGTATTCTCGGTGGGAAATACCACACAATTGTGAAGCACAGGCATTATTCAGTTGCCTGTAGAAAACTAGAATTCATCTTTGGCAAATATGCTTTAATATATTTCTGTCAACTGCCATATAATATCAAGAGCATTTCAGTCTCCAGCTGAGTATGTTTGAATGGTGCATCACTGCTAGACCCTTTTCTTTTAGGAAAAAAATCCACATGGCCTTTTGTATCTACTCCTTTTTGGCTACAGAATAAAGGAGCGAAAGAGGCAAAAAAAGATAAATAAAACATTTAGGAAACTAATATGACAATTGTAAAATCAATATTTCCTTGAAGTGGCTGCAGTTGCCAAGAAAATGGAACTAATTTAATTTGTGTGTTTAATTAAAACCATTGATTATTAAAATGTTAATCAACTCTTTTTAGATACAGTATTTTTGCAAGTTTGCTGAGCTATAACGTGAAACTTATATGTGAGAAGCTAAGCAATAACACGATCTTATTGTGGATTCTTTCTTTTGATGTTTTTATCATGACAATATGAGGTGGGGAGGAAGATTCTCACAAGAAAACTGCCCAAAATAGTTACAACACACTTCCTGCATATTTCCCAATCTAAATCAGAAGATGGGAAGTTTGCATTTCTTTCTTTTTTTTCCTTAATTTTTTTTAATTTGGGGGTTATCTAAATATAACTCAATTATTGCTGTTTCTTCCTTAGAATATTTATTATATTTATTATATTTATTATATTTATTATATTTATTAT